ATTTTATAAATGAAATATGGACAACCCTGAACCTTCTACCATGTAGACCGTGTTAATCCCCCAAGCACTGGGGCCAGGGTGTTAGTGGAGCTCTGGCATGGGTGCAAGTGTGCTTGTTACACTGTTATTGAGATTTTTTTTTAGGGGAGTCAACCTAGTTCTTTAGTGGATTGTGAAATTGGTTTTGTTTTTATCTTGAGTGCCTCTGGTAGACAGGAGGCCATGTAAATGTGCTTAAATAAATAAATATTATCACCCGTGAAAATAAATTAGGGATAGTGCCCCATACACAGAATGCTAGTCCTAGAATGGCATAACATTATCTGGGATGTTAGAAAAGATTGGTATGAAAACCTTGCCTATCCCTTTCCATATTTCTGAATAACAATCCCACATGCAGAGCATAAGGCAATGTATACATTTAAAGCTTGCATATGAAGAGGTCTGACTGGATCCAAGCTTGCCTAATGTTATGGTAGCATTTGCAGCTTTAGGAGCTCCCATATGATTCACTGGCCCTCGAATTTTCGTTTTCCACCAGAATCTCTCGGAAATCATCTTTCCTGTTCTTTATATGGCAGGGTAACAGATACAGTGTCAAGAGTTAAAGCTGAAATTGTTAATGCTTCAGGATTTGGGGGGGAAAACTCTTAAGTATTTTTCTCATACCCTCCCTGCCCCCCCAACATACCTCTTTAGCTATTTAAAATATAAGAGGTTTCTATAGGGTAGAATTTGGCAAACCAATGAAGCCTGAGCTGGATTTGTTTACTGCTATTATTGTTGAACAAATGTCAAGTGGAGACTGTCTTTCAAAGTATAGTGTTCTTTGATTCAGATCTCACTGAGATCAATGAAATGTCAGATATAAATGACATTTATATCTTTCTTTGGAGTGGGATCATTAATTTTAAATAATTTTCAAATGCCACATGGACATGTTTTTTAAAGACATTATTTTGAAAACAATATTTATGTACCAGGTTGTGGAACTCTACACATTGCTTCCATATAAAGACTGTTTTGTTCGGAAGGGATGGGAAAAGAAGCATTAACATTTTAATTAGTACATGTATTAGTTTTTCTTTCGGCTGAAGAATTCCTCAAAGCAGCTACACTTTGTTTCTGTTACATCTGGAAGCAGATGCATTTGCCAAATAGAACACAACATGCTGCAATGCTTTGGCACAATTTACTTTGTAACAACCTTTACTTCCGAGGCTGCTTCCCCAAGGTATTTACATTTTCTCTCTTTCTTTCACAACAGTGCAGATCAAGCCCTAGACAGATTTGCAATGAAGAAATTCTTTGATGATAAAGTTTCTGCTTTAATGCAACCATCCCAGAAAAGGTATTTCAATTTCTCTCTTAATTTATCTTCCTGTTTCAGTAGATACCATCCTTGCCTCCCCCTCATCACAGTTGATGGACATTTCTTAAATTTGCCTCTTCTTTCAACCCTTTTTTTCTTCTTGGGAAGTGTATATCTCTTGCTAGATTTAAATAAGGAAATCAATGATTTCCACACTTGGTTTTAGTTTTCTTTGGAATGTTTGGGATCTGGTTATAAAAAGAAAAAAAAAAACTCTGCTTCAGATGAATAAAGCTATCCATTTTTTTCAGATGTTTGGGAATGGTAGATGCATTTCATTTTTAGAACAGCTACACATCCTCTTGGTGGGAGAACTGATCTTAGGCAATTGAACTTAGATTATCCGGCTTTTTCTCACTGCCTTCCCAGATCAGCAGAACATCAGATCCTGATGCTTACGTGCCTTACAGATCTTACAGATCTTACAGATATTTTATTTTTACTTTTACTTTATTCTTCACCTCATTTTCATAAAGCTGTACCAACCAGTGCTCCTTTCCTTAACCCTGTGCTTCCCAGTTTGCATTTGCTCTGCTTGGTTTGAGAATTAGTTTACTGATGGGCTGGTTATAGTGATCAAATTATTCCCCTATAGTTCTTCTTGTGCAGCAGTAATATTTGGCTACGGTGATAGTGACCCTTGAATTAACGTGACTTTTAAAGAAAGTACAAGAGACTGTTTATCTTTTCTTTTCAGTACTGTGGGTTTCAAGCAATGAGTGTGCACTTGTGCAGTTTAGTGCTTCTAAAAACAAAGAATCAAACCAAAATCCTCCATGTAGAAGTAACTTATTATCCAAAAGCTTTTAGCCTGATCATCTTCCTGACATGTTAGTTTCCTATGGTCATGAAGGAATATTAAGTCATACAAGTTATCACCTACAATATGAAGTTATTCAGACCAAACAAGATTCATTACATCACTGAAAACTGGATCCCTGAAGCTGTTATTTAATAATAAATAAAATAAATAAATGTTGTTGTTTCACAGAAGCCGAATGGCACTAGGGTATGCAATAAATATTCAGAAATATTTGGTCTTAAATGGCACTGTTCAAAGAAAGCAAGTTGTTTCATTCAGATATGACCTGTTAGCAGATCTATCTGCAAGCCAATATTTTTTTCAAGCTAAATTATAGTATATAATTTAGTATAGTGTAAAATGTACTTTATATTTTGACACACATTGACACACATTGAAACCTGATTTTGGTATGGTTCTAAGTAATTCTGGACATATTTTCATTCACTTGATAGAGCAAAAAGTTATATCTTGGCCTGTCCAGATTTAAATTTAAAATACACCAGGAAGCTCTGATCTTTATTTGTTGTTTCAGACTTCAGTCATGCTTTAAATAGGGTATCGCAGCAACTGATCCAGAAATGGGGAGGTTGCAAGAGAAATAAAAACTTCTTATGCTTGCTAATTTTAAAAAGGGAAAGGGAGGAAGGTAGAAAGGAATCAGCGATGGATAGCTCTGACCTCAACTCACAATAGCCTTTGCGTTCTGACTACCATCATGTATCCCAGTTGTAGCCTTTTGGACATGATGACATGATAAGTACTTCTTAGGTACTGATGAGCAGAGCAGGAGGCTGACCAGATTCAGAGACAGATACAGTACCAAAACAGTCTAAACAAGTGACTGTTACAGCTAAATGGTAAAAATAAAAAATACCTCATAAGATATCTATGACAAGTTTTGTCAGAAGGATCTGGTTCAGGAGACACCATTATCACTACTGTGAAAACCAGTACCTGAAGGTGTGTCAATATAGAGCTTCAGAAAGAAGAATGTCAGTCCCTCCTCCTATTCTTATACAAAAAGCCAGTAAGTTTCCCCTTTCTCTAGAGTCTTAGAGCATGTTCTGTACAATCAGATGGTAGAGATGGCCTTTCAATCAACATTCCTCTAGAGAAATTTCAGACACTGCCAGGAGACAGGGCAAAAAATGAGCCTAGTTTTATTATAGTGGATAGGCCCTGACAGATTTAAGAATAGAAAGAAACACAGACCTTGGCTTGATAGTGGGGTTGGGTGTGTGTGTGTGTGGGGGGGGAGGAACAAGACTTCTCCCAGCAACCAGTTCTGTCTTCTGAAATCATGCTTCAGTACCAGTAGTAAATAGGTGAGGATTACTCCTTGGTGGAAGCTGGGTCCTCAGATTTAGTTCTTGTGGGTTGTACAGTTTCTACACACAGTAATTAACATCGGTGCACATTTGTATTTATTGTAGAGTAATTATTTCTATATAGTTACTAAAGAAATTGTATTTTTTTTCAGCCAATATAGTTCTGGAAAATAACCGAACCAGATTTAAACGTGGGTATTAGGATAACACTGGTTTTGAGATGATAGGTGTTGTTGAT